CAATTTTTGAATAGTGTTTTGCATGCATTGATAATTCTTTCGTTTAGAAGTCTTTTTAACGGTGGCCAACGTTAGAACTCGCCTTGTTACTACTTGCCGGACCAAGGAGGTAATTAACAAGAAAAGAATTATCAACATAGATTTAGTGTGATACTATCTAATAGGCTAGTGTCGATTGGTGCGAAGTAATAACTAAGCCAAACATCGATTATGATGTCTAATATGAGGTAAAGGTAAGGGTTAGTAAATTATACACACGTAGCCGGACCAAGGTGCGGGGATAAATTCTCTAGATGCCGGACCAAGGATTTAGAAATACCTAAGTTATCACTTTGCATGTAATACACTAGAAAAGGATTACTATTATTAGGATTACTGCGTTATGAGCTTATGGGGAACACATTCCAAGTTACTTTTAATAATCTGAATATAAATAAATACTTAGTTCAAAGTTATCTTTTTATTGTTTTTATTTTATTTCAATTTAAATCCCCTCATTTTTATATAACGACTATCGAGTTAAATATTTGCTATTGACAATATTTTTCCATATTCTCTGTGGGATCGACCCCGACTTATAGTTGGGTAAATATATTACATACGATCGTTTATATTTCAAGAAGTATATTTGAACGTTATCACTATGCGAACACCGCACCCACTCTAACACTTAAGTAGGAAAACCCTCATATGCCAAATGTTAATACATGCGGAAAATTTTGAAAAAAATGGAAATAAAATATAATAAGAACCTTTAACACAATTTTAGTTAAGACTTGTAAAGAAATTAACACCTCCAAGGATCTAGTCTAAACTGGTACAAGAGCTACTACGAGTACAACTGGACATAATAAATAAAGACACAGCTCCCACCATGCGGAAGGAAAGATAGGAGTTGCTGGAGATTTTCTTCGTCTTCACCTAATGAAACATCACCAACCTGAATCCAGACTATGTCAAAAGACATAGCAAGAGTAGTATCAGTACAAAACACACGTACTCGTAGGCATCATCGGTCAACCCGACGCCCAACACATAACATCAGCAACCAACTAGTAAGATCATGAAATAAACCACTTGATTCTCCACCTTTACCCTCTCTCGAAATACCTCCGAATTACACTAGTACTCTAACTACTAACCACTTTCTTGATCAACCTAATTATCAAGTACTTGATCATAGTCTAACCATTCTAACACATAGAAAAGTCCCCAATACAACTACCAACACTCCAACTAACCGCTCACGTTATATTACTTTCTTTTCATATTACCCAGCCATGGACACATAGTACATTACATCACGCTTTATGACCACTACACACAAATCCCTTTCTCCAAGTGAAATCCACCTAAGCACTTACTTCACGCACAATACCCCCACTTTTCACCCTTGCAACTCACGAATCACCCTTGTCTATCCGGATTCACTCAACAACGAGATGTATAACGGGTTAAATCAACAAAGTAGAACAACATAAGAAGATCATCATATTCATTTACAACTCCGGAAAACACATCAAATATCACTTACAAACCACGTTCAATTTCACAACCCTCAAGGTATACAATTATATAAAATCATTAGTCCTCTCATGGAACCCAAACCCAAACAGTTAGCATACCGAAACGTAGTACCCGATCAAATATTTATGTCGAAATGTGGCAATCGATCCCATTATTATGCCGGAACGTGGCAACCGATCCAAGTTAGTGTATCGGAACGCAACACCCGATCCATTCAAGAAGCCACAATCACAATCATAAGTATATTCTCAAGTTCATGCAATCAAGTCATGATTCATGGCATTCATCATTCGTCTATCTCATTTAAAAAAAGTGTGATCAATAATGCAACATTCACATACATACATGTATCATAATGAAGCAATAACAAGCATACATCACACAATCATAGAATCACAACCATCACCTACGAACTACTCACCCACGTATAGCATGTAAGCATGAATTCGGTCATACTTAACCCTAGTTCATCATCTAAGGCTTCTTTCTAGGATTTAACCATAATTCGTTCGGTGCACGAAGGCCTACGGATAATTTCTATCGTTGCTTTACATATATTAAGTAGTGAACACATATTTATAACTACTAAATTCATAAATCTAGCCTACCTGGGGCCCAAGTAGTTGCACGGATTTTTGGTCTTTGATTCTTGTTTCCAGGATTTGTGACGGTGATCTTGACCAGAAATCCGCAATCCATCGACATCTTCACGCTAGAAAACTCTCCCTCCCTTTTCCCAAGCTTGCAGCAGCTTTTTGGGGGTTCTAAGGTGTTTTTCGACTAAATTAGGTATTTTAGGGAGAAGGAGAAAATAAGAGTTCACGTTATTTACATTCTGTCTCGACTATCCCGCTCTGGCGCCAACTTACCCCACCCTAGCGATATTTGTCCTGCCCTGGCGGGACAGTGGCCCAGAATTTTCCAATTTTTTGCTTTTTCTAATTAACGACTGTTCGGGTCGTTACAATTTGTTAGGAGTTGATTAAAATACTTGTATCTAGTGTGAAATCAGTGGCAGTCACAAACTTAACATTATTTGTCAATTTTACAATAATTTCTTTTTCTCCATAATTGTCTTCATAAGGAAGTCCCTTCTCCATATGAGCATTCTTATTATTCTCGATTTCTAATGATTGTGAAATGGGGACTTGCTCTATATTTTCTGCAAAAATAAATGAAGTCTATGTATAAATATATTTTTAAATACTTTATTTATCTTAATTTATATGATAGATATGAAATTTAAGAAACAAATAAATACTTTCAAGAATTATGATAAAAAATTTCCTTAAAATTATTACGTGGTTATAAATTATTTCATCAAACATAAACTAAAATTTTAAAATTAAATTATTTTCAAATATTGAGATGCATCATTATTTTTAGAATAAACTAAAAAAAAGTATATCGGGTAAAATGGAACAAAGAAAATAATAATAATCATACTATGGAACTAAAACATTTTCTTTTGGATTAAAAGTTAATTACTAAAAACTATAGATGCAATCACTAACTATATAATACGCGTAGCTTATCGAATGTGATCGTTAAGAGCATGCTTGCTTGGCTAAATTAAATACCTTCATTGTATAAAAAATTGATGGTCAATTCTTCGTTCTTGGCCAAGGTTAAGACCACATGATCATTGATTTCTCCGTGTGCTTTATCTTTAGGAACAACATTTTGGAGCTCCAAGTTTGCAAAGCATGTATTCTCTACTTCTTGAAATAATGGTGACATCAAGTGAAGGACATCTATCGAGACATTGGAGGAAGAAAGCATGTCGAATTTTGAAGATCTTGAACATTCTTTTCCTACACACATGATGAGTCATTGATAAAAATAACTAAAGATAATGCTCATGCAATATAGCTAATAGTTTTGTTTAACTTAAATTCTAGTGATATAAAAATATTTACACAATCACGTTTGTCATGAAATAGTTATAGGTATATTATTATCAATATAAATATCATCTTTATAATAGGTTAAAATTTACCGAGTGTATAAAATTATTTTCATTGTATATACAGTTCAAATCCATTTTTATTAGTACATAATGTGGGAAAAAGATTTACAATACATAACACAAACAAAACTTTCACATACTGAAATGTATGAATTTTGTGGACTATTAAATTCATTGTTCATATATGATGGTAATAATAATCAAATAAAATAAAAAACTTACAAAAAAGGATTAAGCTAGTGATACGATCACTTACCTACACTTTGTGAAAATTCAGAGTCCAACTCATTACTTTTGTTCAGGTGAGCAAACACTTTATTTTCACTCTCTTTTACCTTGTCCACTTCCTGGTGGAGAACAACTACTAATTCATGGCAATCTAAATTTGTAATTCTTTCAGTTTCTTCTTTCCGAACCAATGATTGCATAAGTACATCATCATTAGAGAGATTGGAGGAAAATTGCTTTCAAATGCTTTATGGTTTGGAAGATCTTTAAGGTTATCCATCGAGCGAACCTGCTTGGATTTAACATCATTATAGTAAATGTGATTGTCCAACTTCATGAGATTGTTTATGTACCACTAAAATTTTAATAACCTACCACAAACTCACTTGTTTGTTTGAGCTCGATCATTTCACACATGAGTGCCACTTCATTTCCTAAATGTAGTTCACCATTGTTTTCTTTCTGTTTCGTTGTTGTATGCTCTGAGTTTGAAGATTCTTTTTTTCTTTTCTTGGAAGGACGTTTTGGAGATCCAATCTTGATTTAATTCAAGATAAATTTATAAGAATGATTGTAACAATAAAAAATATATATTTGTCAAATAATTAAACATCTTACCTTAATCTCTTTTACCATATTTGTTTTGTAATCGACTTCTACTTCCATTTTCTCGTAACCATCTAAGATATATCTACATACATCCATAACAGATCGACATATGAAACATTTTTTCATATGATACTAAACCTACAACACAACAATTCTTTTCATTAGGTTACAATAATTATTAAAGGATTTAAATGTTGTACACTATTATCTTGCACTAACAAATTATTACCTACTCTGCTAGACAAATTCAATAAGATAAGTATTCTAATACAAATTAAGCAACTAAAATAATTATAATAGAGAAGATGCCTCATGATATAATGTAGAAACTATAACGGAACTATCTAGAAAAACATCTCCTAAATCAAAATGTAGACAAATCATAGAAAACCTACTATAAAACTATCATTTAACTTTTGCATTTTATAAAATATTACATGTCTTATTTTTAAGATTACAAAACTCATATTTTATAGACTCTTAGTTGTAAGTATACTTTAAATTCCATGATAGTGTAAATAAGACATTATCCAAATGATGAATAAAACTTAAACTCATTGTCACAGGTAGCTTAGTGATTGATTCGTTATCTCTTATTTTCTTGACTCATCATTTTTTTAGTTCCTCATCACTAATTTATAGAATCAAGATATAGGAAACAAAAACTAATAATTTAAGTTATATGCAAGAAATAAGATAATAATATTATTTACCTTGTCACATTGACCATTAGGGTGCCTTCTCTTTTCACATGTCCAATCGTCCAAGATATCATGATATTTTTTATTAAGTCTGAATGGATCGACTAAATCATCTCCCTATAATTCAAGTTCATAACAAAGTATTTGGAAGAGTTAACCGTCTCATAATTATGATCAAACCTTGACTTATTAAATCTATACATAAGCAATCTAGAAAAATAAATGTACTAACCTTGTTTAATTTTACAGTATAAATATTAGTTTCACCTGCTAAAGGTACAATTGCAAAGCTAACAGTAGATAGGGCTATGACCTCCGCATTAATCAATCTCCTCTTCCTCCCGGTGAGTTGATGGTGAGTTAATTCAGACTCATTCAGCAAATAATAGAAAACTTTAAATCAAAATTTCTTGTCATACTTGATTGTGTTTTAAATAAACACTAATTTATAAACTATCATATCATATTTACTTTTTGTGAAAAGAAAACTACCTAATTTTAAGAATTACAAATTTTATTTTGATTGTTGTATGCTTATAGATATCTTTTGGGTGATTTATAATATAAAGTTTTAGTACATTATTTGTATATATAAGTTAAACTCTTTTGCAGAATAAAAGGAATAATAAAAATTTGATGCTTTGATGATGTAAAACAATTTACACTATATTATTTATGAATGTCCATAAAAACAAAATGAGCATCAAGGCGAAAGATATATATACTCACAATCTATCTATATATAATAGGAGAAGAAAAAGTGTCGTGTCAGCACCACGAAATACAGGCTTTTTAAATAATTATAAAATTATTAATTATATGTAGTAGAATTAAATAATAAATTACTAATATTATTTATTTATTTTCAAATGAAAAAATAAGAATTTATTTTACTGTTTTTCAAAATTTAAATAAAAATTAAAATTGTAAAAATTATTATTTATTTTAAAATTCAAAATATAAAAATCAACACGTTAGTCATTTGAGAATTTTAAGAAATAAGTTGGCATCAATTTGAAAAATATTAAAATTAATTTACAATCTGAAAATAAAAATAAAATATGCAAACACGGGAAAAAGAAAAGAACTGAACTTTTTACTGTTTTCTAAAATTCAAAATTTTTAATAGAGAAAACTACATTATATTCTTCCTAGACTAGAAAAGTGCTCCTAAACAATAGGGATACATTAAGGGTGTGTTTGGTATGAAGGAAAATGTTTTCCATGGAAAATGTTTTCTTGGAAACAAGTTGATTTTTAACTTATTTTCTCATGTTTGGTTGGTGAGTAGAAAATACTTTTAGTGTTTGATTTATGAATGAAAAATGTTTTTGAAAAATTTCTTTTATTTTTACTAGAGTAGATAACTTAAATTTTAAATTATTATTTTTTTGGGGGGGTGGTTGGGGGGCTGGTTTGAGGGTAGCGACCAAATAAATTGATTTTTTCAACATTTTGTTTTTAATTGGAAGTTGGAAGAGAGTTTTGGAAAATGTTTTCCTTAAGTTTTGAATGGAACTCATTTTCCTTAAATTTGAGGAAAATGAGTTGATTTGGAAAACATTTTCCAAAACATTTAACCCAACCAAACATGAGAAAATTGAAAAACATTTTCAAAAAATGTTTTCATTCATACCAAACACACACCCTAAAAGAATAACTGAATCTTCTATATTACGATTTACGGTAGCGAAAAATGCTCCTAAATCATAGGTATTTTATCAAGAATAAATATAATAAATAAATTTAAATAATAATTAAAAAACAGAAGTTAAAAACTGTTCTTAGCGAAATGGGGTAGTTAGTTTTTCCTTCTTATTTTTTAATTTAGTAAATTCTATCCATACAACAATACAACATGTCTTATCTAATAAAATAAAGAAAAAAATTCAATTAAAATAAAATAGTCTATTATAAAAAAAAAATTAAAAATGATTTTAAGAAAAATAAAAGAAAGATAAACATGGATTTTAGTAGGAAAAATGGGAAAGTTTTTTTTTTTCTTTTAATTTATTAAACTCTATCCATTGTTGCCTTATTTAATAAAATAAATAAACAATTATAAGTTCAAAAAAAGAAGAAGAGGAAATCACGTCCATTAAAAATATAAATCTCAAAATTAGCCACCACAAAATACCTAAATAATTAATTTAAAATTCAAATTTCAAATAATAACTAAATTTATCTCTAAATCAATGATATTTGATCTAGAAAAAAATATTGAGTAATAAGTAAATTTAAAAAATGATTTATAAAAAAACAGAAGTTAAAACATGTTCGTAGGGAAATGGGATGGTTACTTTTTTTTAAAAAATTATTAAATTTTATCCATACAACATATCTTATTTAATAAAAGAAAGAAAAAAGTTTCAATCAAAATAAAATATAAAATAATTTAATAATAAAAAAATGATTTTTTGTTTAAAAAGATGATTAGAACTGTGAATTTTCATAGGGAAAATGGGAAAGTTTTTTTTCCTTTTAATTTATTAAATTCTATCCATTGTTGCTTTATTTAATAAAAGAAATAAACAACTTTCAGTTAAAAAGAAAAGAAGGAAAAAAAAGACCACGTGCTTTAAAAAAATAAATCTCAAAATTGGCCACTATAAAATATCTAAATAATTAATTTAAAATTTAAATTTCAAAGAATAACTAACGTTATCCCTATTAATAAATATAAACTTCATAATCAACATCTTTAAAAAATAATTTTAAGAAAAATAAAAGAAAGATTAACATGGATTTTCGTAGGAAAAATGGGAAAGTTTTTTTCTTTATTTTTTAATTTATTAAACTCTATCCATTGTGCCTTATTTAATAAAATAAATAAACAATTTTTAAGTTACAAAAAAAAAGAAGAAGAGGAAATAACGTCCTTTAAAAATATAAATCTCAAAATTAGCCACCACAAAATACCTAAATAATTAATTTCAAATTTAAATTTCAAATAATAACTAACTTTATCTCTATATCAATGGTATTTGATCTAGAATAAAATATTGAGTAATAAGTAAATTTAAAAAATGATTTATAAAAAAACAGAAGTTAAACACTGTTCGTAGGGAAATGGGATAGTTACTTCTTTTTTTTAAAATATTAAATTTTATCCATACATCATTTCTTATTTAATAAAAGAAAGAAAAAAGTTTCAATCAAAATAAAATATAAAATAATTTAATAATAAAAAGATAAATTTTAAAAAATGATTTTTTCTTTTTAAAAGATGATTAGAACTGTGAATTTTCATAGGGAAAATGGGAAAGGTTTTTTTTCTTTTAATTTATTAAATTCTATCCATTGTTGCTTTATTTAATAAAATAAATGAACAACTTTCAGTTTTAAAAAAAAAGAAGGAAAAAAAAGACCACATCCTTTAAAAAAAAAATCTCAAAATTGGCCACTATAAAGTATCTAAATAATTAATTTCAAATTTAAATTTCAAATAATAACTAACTTTATCCCTATTAATAAATATAAACTTCATAATCAACATCTTTAAAAAATAATTTTAAGAAAAATAAAAGAAAGATAAACATGGATTTTCGTAGGAAAAATGGGAAAGATTTTTTTTCTATATTTTTTAATTTATTAAACTCTATCCATTGTTGCCTTATTTAATAAAATAAATAAACAATTTTAAGTTCAGAAAAAGAAGAAGAGGAAATCAAGTCCTTTAAAAATATAAATCTCAAAATTATCCACAACAAAATACCTAAATAATTAATTTAAAATTCGAATTTCAAATAATAACTAACTTTATCTCTAAATCAATGGTATTTGATCTAGAATAAAATCTATATATATATATATATATATATATTAGGAGAGGTGATAGCGCCTACATGTCAGCGCCACAATTAATCTCACTTTTTTTACTTTTTAATTATCAATTCATAATTATATATATATATATATATATATTCTTACGGAAATCCGTAAGAAAACGTTAGAGATTTTCAAAAAAAATTAAATATACACGTGTCATCTTCTAATTATTCATTCATTTTAACATTTTAAAATGATAAATTATTATACAATTATTAACACGTGTCAGCATTTGCATTATATAATTTGACATTTCAACTTTTGATTTAAAAAAAACTTAAATAAATTTATTAAAGGAAGTATTTAATATGCACGTGTCAAATCTGGATCAATTAATCACTAATTTAACATTTAAAATAAAAATTAATTAAAATATCTTAACATGTGTCAACATTTGCTTGATATAATTTAACGTGTCAATTTTTGAATTTACAAAAATCTGAAATAAAATTATTGAAGGAAGTTTAAATTTACACGTGTCATATTTTCAATTAAACACTAATTTAACATTTGTAATTAAAATAAATATAAACACGTGTCATCATTAGCATGATATAATTTTGTCTGTCAACTTATCAATTTTAACAATTAATTGTAAAAAAATATCAACACTTTAGCGGTATTAATATTTAAATCTAATACAATTTCATTGCATAAATGACGTGTTAGCTTCTTCAGTTCCAAACAACTTTGTTAGCAATATCTGGCAGCATCTGAATTAACCTCTAACTCTGTAATAAAAAATTCAAAAGCAGTTTAAAATTTAGAGCAGTTTAAATTAGGAGCAGTTCTGTAACTTCCCACTAACTTTTGAAAAAACTGTTTCTCAAATCACGTACTAAGTACCTATATATAGATACCATTTGTTTCAAACTAAACATGTTTCTGTCAACTTTCAAATTACAAAATATGGCTTTGCAATATAACACAATATCTGAAATTACCAATAACTTAATGAATTGGAATTTAAAATTTCGCGTTATTCGTTTCTGGACAGTGTCCGATAAATACAAGCCTAATATTCCGTATACTATGGAGTTGATTTTGCAAGATGAAAAGGTATGATTTAATTCAAATTTGTGTTTTTAATGTTATTCTCTAATTCTATTATACATTTAATATTAATGATTAATGATTATACAAAATTTTATTTTCATATAGGGTGATCGAATACATGCATCTATTGATAAGTTCACAATAAAGTATTTTAGAGACAAGATTTATGATCATGGTTTATATCAGATGAAATATTTTGTGATAGCGCCTTATCACTCGTAAATTTAAATCAAATTCTCATAAACACAAGCTTACATTCACTCAGAGTACTATTGTGACTGAAATTGAAGATTCATCTTTTCATATGGATGTTTTTAAGCTACGCACTTTTGAAGAAGTGAAAATTCAACACAAGATCGACGAGAATCAACTAATTGGTAAATAATAATATTATTATATAATTATTTTCATTATACTGTAAATATTATAACTAAGCATTTCATTTTTTAAGAGTTGTTGGACATGTTGTCTCATATGAACCAATTCAATTGTCAAAGAAAGGAGACAACAATAGTTCTTTCATGAATATTGTTGTAGAAGATGAGCAGTAAGTATTATTAAACAATTTACATTTAATAGGGTATATACCATTATATTATCTTATATGATAACAATAATTAAATTTATCATTTTCACAACATTGTTTATGTTGGAGAAATAATAATTAAATTTATCATTTTCACAACACTGTTTATGTAGGAGAAACAAGCTTCCTGCCACTTTATGGGGTGATCTCGCATTTCAAATGCAATCACATTTATCTGGATCGACAGATGAACCATTAATTGTTGTTCTTCAATTAATGAAGACACACAAATTTAGAGGTATGAATTTTAAAGTTTTTATTTTGTTAAACTATTGTTTATCATTATTACAAATATATTTATCTAACTTAATAAATCTTATAAATTATTTTATAGATACCTATTCTATTCGTAGTTGCTGAACAACTATGGATTAATGCAGATCTACCACAATCTTCGAATTTTAAAAATAAGTTTGACAATTCATATGTATTATTAAGTACTCCAAATGAATTAAAATTAACAAATTATATAACTACTATTTTATGATAAATTTACATGTTAATTGCATCAGGTGAATACGAGAAGGTTTCACAAACAAGTTCACAACAACATATTTCAATTTTTGAGGAGTTGTCTACATGAATGGTCTCTTTTAAATTTATTAGGGATTAGGGATTTCCTTCAATGCACTGAAGTGAGTTGTATATATTAAATTACTAATTATAATCTATATTTTTTTTATAGTACATATAATTATCTAAACATTATGATTTAACTCACAGGAGTCTAGCTATTGGATTGGTGTAAAGATTGTTTGTTTGGAACTTGGTCACAGATGGTCATACTTGGCTTGCAATAAGTGTATCACAAAGGTTGATCCTTTGGGAGACAAATATTATTGCATAAAATGCAATGCTGAAGTTATATTTGTTATTCACAGGTTGGAGCAAACAATATAGATTTTTAAAATTTAACTAAAATTTATATAACACTCTATTTTATACACTTTAGGTATCAACTTCATATTCATGTTACTGATGAAATTGGATTTATATCATTATTGTTGTGGAATAAAGAGGTTCTACAATTAATTGGAAAGACTGCCAAGGAATTGAAGGCAGGATTAATAGGAGATGCTGACATGGGTTATCCAATAGAAATTGATTCTTTGATTGAGAAAAGGCTCATGTTTAAAGTCCAGATTAAGGATTCAAACATTAACAAGAATGATAATGTTTACAAAGTAGTAAAGTTCATTGATGATGAAGCATTACTAAAGGAATATTGTCATCCTTCTCTTATACACAATTTAAATGTAAGTGTCTATATTATTAAAATTTAACTCTAATTGTCATATAAATAAATTAACTATAATTTTTGAAACAGGAGGCAACCCTTGATTGTGGACAGAGCTATGATGAAGATAAACTAATTGAGGTATATAATTTAATTCAATCTATATTTCGTTTTTAAACTTTTCAGATTTTAAAACATAGTTTGTTATTTTACATTATGTGTATAACTATTCAACACACATAAATTACTAAATTATGTATGTATTTAAATTATTTTCAAACACTTATGAAAAATAGCATTTCAGATTGTGCTTCTTCACAAAATGAAGATGTGATTGATTTGACTGGAAAGTTATATCCCAATAGTGGCAAACATGTTGGAGTTCGACCAACACATTCAAATGATGAGGGATTAAATGTCAAACTACCCACTAACAAGTTACGCAAAGTTATAAAGAAGGAGAAGAAGACATAAGTTTTTCAGAATGGGAAATAGGCTTTAATTATTTAAGTTAGTTTATTTTAGAATATTAAACTATCCAATTAACTTTGTTTTATAAAGATTTATAATAATTATAATATTAAAATACTTTAAATAAATTAATATTGTTAACTCTTTTATTGACAATGACAGATAATACAGCTGATATTTGAGTTGTTAAATTTGAAGAATTGGTAGCAAGAGTTTGAAAAAATGGAGGGGATAATACACTTATGCATATGGTGAACAATTTCACACTTAAGTAATTGAGTGTGCTTTGAAGATAGTATTAGACTCTTCCATTATATGAAATGGAACCGCCTGTTGACATTATTTTTTTATAAACTAGACTATATATATGCAATGGAGGGCTTGGTTCTAGATACTTTTTAAACTTTACATTTAATCTTGCTAGCTATCCTGTAACAAGTATTTAAAGGAGTTCATATATGGTTTCAGATGTTCCAAAGAAGCAGCACATTAAAAATAAACACCAATAAGTTTAAACAAGTAAACACACAATTATTTACGTTATGTTAATTTAGTAAACTGAATTATAATCTATCAAGCATATGAATTAGATCAGTAAGCTTTTCATCTGAAGCATGCATCATTATATAGGTATAAGCACATTGAAACTACAGAAAATATCAATATAAATCAGATTAAAATATAGAGATTAGTGTAAAAAAAACAAATTGAGTGGAAAATAAAATAGCTTAACTACATATTTGTAGATGTAAGACATCTTTTCGAATTTTAAAAAACAAATAATCATTTCCCTGCTTCCGCAATAAGTAATAATTCATCACAATCTACTCTAACAACATGGTTAAACATAAAAACAAAAACAAAGATAGAGATCTAACCTGACATTGCAAAGAACATAAAAACGGATACGACAACAGAATAAACTCTCAATCACCAAGCAAAATTAACAAAATCTGCATCAACATAAGCTTATATAAATTTAAAATATTATACCTTAGTTGATCATCCCAAATAGAGTAACATCGAGGCAAAATAGAGCTGAAGAAGACATCACCTGATAATTTTAAAAAATTAACTCCACGACAAGAAGTTGATGCATGCTAATACTCTTCAATCGAAGTTCTTATTACAATTCAATAAAATGAAGAAAAAAAGGAACTCACCATTTCATGAAACATACGATTGTTGACGGAACAACTCTAGATCTAAATACAATTTCAATCAAAATCTTATTTCCAGTGTGATACCTGCTTGAACAAAGTCTTTGTTAGGCTTTGTTCTAATTTGAATGTTCGAATGTTGAAATGAGAACTTTTTTTTTACCAAAGTTATGTTGATGAGATTCAAATTAGAGATTTCGTTCTTCCAAGAAACTTTACAAGAAAAAATTAACAATTACAAAGAACCCAATTGAGAAAGGGTAACAGAAGAATATAAAGAAAACAAAGAAAGAACACTTACAGTGATATGAAAAAGCACACATGAGCTTAGAGATGACGGATCTAGCTCTGACCAGCGACGATCTAAATAGGAAGCTGACTTTCCTAATCTCAAAAATCAGATTCCATCGGTGCATGTTTGGTCTCCTTCCACAATCTAGATAGATCCATATTTTTTAAGTTTTCATTTTTTTTTCTTATTTCTACTACCTGACGTTTTTCTTCAACTTTTAGTTTCCATTTTTTTGTTATTCAATAAATTGGCCCATGGCCATTTTGTTTAATTAAAAACAAAGAAAGAAAGATGGAAATATTGAAATGTGTGTATACATTGAAGTCTTACTATACTATCAAGGCATGCTAATCAATATACCTAAAAAGTTGTATTCTTTTATAGTACTTCCTCTATTTTATACCTCCTTCGTCAACTTTTAATTGTTATATTTAGTTTTTCAAAAGTCAATTTAATCAATTTTTCAAAGTAAAATAAGATTACATTAATTCGATATTTTAAGAAAAATATTTGTATATTTCAAAACTATACAAAAAGTACTACAAATAGCCATATATGCATATTAATATGATAAAAAAAAATATCGTAAATTGTTAGTCAAAGTTCTTATGTTTTACTCTAAAAAAAAAGAACATGACAATTAAAAGTGGACAAATGAAGTATTAATACTAAATATAATTAATTTATATTAATTGATCACCTTACTAAATCAATAAAACTTTAATAACTTTTTTTTACTACTCTTGCAACTGATTTATTTTGAAAGTATTCATATTTGTTTGTATAATTCACAAGAAGTATTTTAAGGTGTGAATTAGAAAAATCATCTTCTTATTTATGTTTTTTAAGCACCGTAAAAAATTAATAGTGATCAACTAATATGAGACGAAAGGAGTATTTCACGTACACAATACTTTATTAAATATTATTTTATATTATATATTAATATAAGTGGCTTATGTTTATTATGAAAATTATAAAAAGCATTACTGTTGGGACCACAAAACAACTTTATATTGTGATTAAAATAATTTCAAAATATTATATATTATTTTTCATTTAATTTTTGTTTATTTAATTTTTGTTGATATTTATATTTCATATAAAATATAACTCAATATATGTTTTCTTTTCATTTTAATATATCCGCGCAACGCATGGGTACGTATACCAGTATTGAGTAACAAGTAAATTTAAAAAATGATTTATAAAAAAATAGAAGTTAAAAACTGTTCGTAGGGAAATGGGATAGTTACTTTTTTTAAAATTTTTTTTATCCATACAACATTCCTTATTTAATAAAAGAAAGAAAAAAGTTTCAATCAAAATAAAATATAAAATAATTTAATAATAAAAAGATAAATTTTTAAAAATGACTTTTTTTTTAATAAAAAAGATGATTAGAACTGTGAATTTTCATAGGGAAAATGGGAAAGTTTTTTTTTCCTTTTAATTTATTAAATTCTATCCATTGTTGCTTTATTTAATAAAAGAAATAAACAACTTTCAGTTAAAAAGAGAAGGAAAAAAAAGACCACGTCCTTTAAAAAAATAAATCTCAAAATTGGCCACTATAAAATATCTAAATAATTAATTTAAAATTTAAATTTCAAATAATAACTAACTTTATTCCTATTAATAAATATAAACTTCAGAATCAACATCTTTAAAAAATACTTTTCTTAACAAAAGCATCCACATTCTTGTGCAACTCTTCAAAATACAAATTCAAACATTTATTTAACAAAAAATATATTCAAATAAAAATTTAGATTTGATTACACTCATAGAAAAATTGAGGGGACATATAGTAGTGTATTGTGTATTTATATGCCCTCTTTCTTAATTGTTTGATGTGAAATTATTTTATTTATAATTGAAGGAGAATAACCACCATCCTCTCCAATGCAACAAGGAAGAAGAAGAAATTGAGATAGAGAAATGGAAGAATTTCATGGCAATGCTGTGAAGAAGAAGAAATTGAGATAGAGAAATGGAAGAATTTCATGGCAATGCTGTGAAGAAGAAGAAATTGAGATAGAGAAATGGAAGAATTTCATGGCAATGCTGTGAAGAAGAAGAAATTGAGATAGAGAAATGGAAGAATTTCATGGCAATGCTGTGAAGAAGAAGAAATTGAGATAGAGAAATGGAAGAATTTCATGGCAATGCTGTGAAGAAGAAGAAATTGAGATAGAGAAATGGAAGAATTTCATGGCAGTGGACCATGTATGTCATCTTTCAATATTTATAGTACACAAATTACTATTGTAATAATTCATTCATCAATTTAGTGATTTTGCATTACATCTCATATATTTTTTTTATATGCAAATTGTGTGTTATATGCCCTTTTTCTTAATTGTTGATGTTTGATGTAAAATTATTTTGTTATGATTGAAGGAGATTGACCACCATCCTCTTCAATGCAACAAGAAAGAATAAAAAACTGACGATAGAGAAATGGCGAAATTATGAAGAATTTTATCGCATTGGACCATGTATGCCGTCTTTCAATATTTCTAGTACATAAATTACTACTCTAATAATTGTTTCATCAGTTTAGTGATTTTGCATTATATTTAATATATTTTTTATATGCAGATTGCGATGGTATACTATGAGCTATGCCACTATATTATTTTCTTTGTCTACTATTACAGGGTGAACTCAATCAAGTAGTATTCTGTAATGTTATTATTTTGAATTTTTTATTTGTTCATTTTTATTTTTGATAGAAAATGAAAACATTTTACCACGTAAATTAAAAAATATAAATTTTATAATAATGGAGTTGACATTTTTAAATTGCTAATTTTTGTTGTCATTTATAAACTATTACTATATTGAAACTATTGCTCATATCATTATGGTTATTTGATTTATTCTCACAATATTCTCCTCTCTTTATTCGTTAGTTCATGTATAGTTGATTCTTCAAATTCTACATTTTTTAGAAACTTTCTCAATTTTAATTTTTTTGTTTTTTATATGCAGTTTGTGATGATCATACTACAACAAATTATGTTAGTATTTTTTTTTTGGTTACTATGACAATGTGAACGCGGACAAGGAGTGAACAAGTAGTATATTTTTATTTTGTTGGTTTGATGCTTAAATTTTAATTAGTCGAGTAATTAGTATGTTGATTTTGTTTCTTTGATACTTTCTAATTGGTTGAGTTGATGCTTCCAAGTGCTAATTTATATTGCGATTTAATTTATTATATTGAAAATAATGCTCAAACTGTTAATAATTTTTAGATTTATTTTATGTCTTCAATTATTCTCTAATATATATTTCTATTATTATATAACTAGATATAGCAACTTTTTAAGCATCAAAATCTCTTATCAATAATTATTGCAAACTGTTAATTTTTTATTTTATTTATAATCTTTAATAATTTTTAATAATTTTTTCTTACACGGTGAGTGGAGTGTGAATTCGGTGGATTTGAATTTTTATTTTTATTTTGATGTATTGTTAGTCGCTTATTATCTACACATATTTAATGTATACCATTTATTTTATAATATTATTTACTAATAAGTTAAATTTTGGAATTGTCAAGAAATCAATATTTCATTATATTTATTAACAAACCGTGCAATGTGATGTGTATCATTTATTTGATAATATTATTTAACAATATGTTAAATTTTGGAATTATCAAGAAATCAATATTTGTGATTATATATCAACTAACCGTGCAACGCGCGGACACGTATACTAGTGTATAACAATAATATATGAAAATGACAATACATATATCATCAATTCACATGATAAAGAGAAAAATAAAATTCATGGTCATAATATCATTAACCAAAAAATTATATGATATTTATACTCAAATAACTATTGTTTCCTCAATTTCTTGAGATATAAAAAAAAAATTGTTTCTTCTGGATGATGTCGAGTAGAAATTATGAGAGTTGTAAGAGTTTATTAATTAGACATTGAAATAAACGTAAAATTCTACGTCATAAATATGATCAAGATCATTAGAATTATTTCTTTATGTAAACAAAAAATGATCAATTTATTAAGTTTCACTATCACATTAATTATAATGGGCAATGTATGTATCTTTTTTGTATCACTCAAAATTAATTACAATAGTGTATATACAAACATGACATATTCTAATTAAAAAAATAAAAATATTTTGAATAGTAAATTTCACAATCAGTGTCTATATCATTTAATAATAATGTAAAAATGTTTTAATTAAATTTAAAAGAAATAAAAAAACAACAATAAAAAGTGTGTGTATATATATATATATATATATATATATATGAAAGTGACTTTAATTTTCAAGGTGGTTAGATAATTTTAACAATTATTGAACCAGTTTAGAGAAAAATAATAAATTTGTAAATTACATTATTAAAGCAAAGGTTATTAGATTAACGGTTAGATTCTCGTAATTTTTCATCAATATTGCAATTAAAATCTAACATACAAATCTAGCCAACTAATATGTTATAAGAATCATTTAACAAAGACAATATAAAATAATAAAATACTTAACTATAAATCAATCTTTTATCACCTTAGTGTTTATAAAATATATTATTGAAATCACTTTTTTTTAGATTCAATAAATTTTAATTGCTTATAAAATAAAATTTAATACTAATCATTATAAATAAGAAATTTAATCAGACTTGTTCATTTTTTAATAATGTGATTAATCGTCGTCTATATGACAAAATAATATCATACAAAAAAACTTATTTTCTTTCCTTTTTTTTATCCAAAAGCCTATTGCAATTTCAGTTAAAAAGAGAATAAAAAAGTATCACCCATAATTCTATTTTTTTCAAAAGACATCTAAATTTTATAAAATCTCATTTATTATAGACATAGATGTTATGATAAAATTTGTTAAAAAAAAATCTTGATACACAATTATTCCTCACAATAATGAATTATTCTCAAACAAAAAAAATAAAATATTTAAATATCACTAGTGTCTTAAAATATCTAAAATTCATGTGTTTTTTCTTATGCATGATAATGATCAAGATTTAACCATGGAGTTAAAATCTACGCAAAAGATAATAAATTAAAGGGTAAAGCAACACGTAAGAAGAGGAACTAGAATGCTAAATTATATTTTCTTATTGATGTCCCCGAGACATTCTCCCTTGGATGACTTCATACACTAGAGGGTAGTAACACCGATTCACTAA